AGTACCCTGTGAATGTAAGTAGGTCTCCGGCTACTGAACAATTCAGAAGTATTAAGACATAAGCAGTTTTACGTATTCGTGTTTACTAAAACATAGTCCCAAGCAATGTTAGGCAGCAGCTCAAAGGGGATTTTAGAAAGTTGGTAGCAAATAAATACCACTATGACACATCAAAGTAGCAAATGGATGCTAGATTTTACTGATTTAGCCCCAAGTGTCTACCCTGCTAGTGGCAAGGCCACGCTGGGAAGCTACTACGCTATGAGTGAGGCAGCCCCAGTTCTGGCCTATTGCCAAGGGCCTGCCATATGCCTTTATACATGCTGAAACTTTATTTCTCCTTCCAAAACAGGATGAGGGGAAGGTTTCTGGACTTCTGTTTCCTCAAATTGCTCTAGGTGCAGTTTGTCATCCCAAGATCAATTTTGCAAAACCTTGCCTGCCGCTGGGGAGAGAAAGAATTCACTTGAACAGGCATACTTAGCATGTGCACCTGGTGTAAGCAACTTTGTTCTGTGTTCATAATAGAATTGTGGGGTCTAAGGGTTTTGCAGATCACTAGTAACATTTTTATGAAAAAAAGGTTAAATATGTTGCTTGTTTTAAAACCCATTCTCTGGTTGATCCTTAGGCAAGAATGCGGCGATTCTCTCTGCATGCTTATGCTGTTTGGATTTTGCTAAACGTGAAGAAAGCAGGTTATGGCTTTTAAGAGCTAAGCTTTGGCTTTTCGGCAGGTCTGTGTGAGGAGTGACATTGCTTTGGTACCTTGAATACAAAAATGTTTAGCTTAGAAGTGTGCCTAAATTGGTTTAATACAAAAGCTTCAATAGTCATATAGGTAACTATTTTAATTCAGTTCAAGCCTAACAAAAATAACACAAACCAGAAGCAAAAGAGGCCATGCAGCCTTTTGTACTTATTTAACTAAGTGCACTGGTTTAAACTAGTGCAACTTTTTTTTGTTTTTTTTAAATGCATGCAGTGGCTGAGTTAAATGCTGCTGTCAGCTGGATAAGGAAAATTGTCGCTATCAGTACAAGTGGACATGACTTGCCTTATCAGTAATAGGATTGGGGATTAGAAGTTCCAGAGAGGCTGCCCTTCCTCCCAGAATTGTTCCCTGTAATACAGGTATTTTTCCTCTGTAACAGAAAAATTGTTCTCTGTAACAGCGGTAAGGTAATGAGAGAGAAACCCAGACTGATTTTGTCCAGTTGGACACCAAATATGGTATGGTGAGAGGCTACAATAAGCAATTTAACACATTAATTGGAAGGTGTTTATAAGAAGTCCATTCTCAAATTTAACTCCGAGGTAACCAGAAGCCTACATGTTCTCATATATTTATTTACTACTAGAATTCGTGTTACAGATCACTGGCTTGTAAAACCACTTCTGGAAGAACAGGCAGTAGACCTTTCTTAGGAGAATTATGGTTGTTCACTACCAGGTTGAAAACAGGTCCATGCCTGAGCATTGTTTGTTTTCTGGCATCCAAGCTTTCTTCTGTCATGTGTAAGAGCTATTACACGTGGTAATGTTAGGATGAAATAGCGTAACACAAGCCACATGGCTCTGCACACTACCTCGTCAGCACAGTACCGAGTCAGCACACATAACCCCATCAGCTTTTCATAAAGTTTCCAAAGGACATTTAATTTCTAATGTAATCCTAGGCAGTTCCTGTTTACATGGAACACGTACGTACATTGAAGTCAGTCTATCATTTCTAGTGCTGATAGTTCCAGCAGGGTTGTTGAGCTGCATTTTTGCAGCCAGTTAAAGAAAGCAGTGACATAGAGCATGCACTGTTCTTGTGGTCTTCGCTTGCACTGACATAGCAGAATTCACATTTTTACAAGAAGTACTCTGTAGCGTTCCAAACAGCTACATTGCTAAGCTTTAATTGTCTCCTATTCTTACAATAGAAACCATTAGAAACTAGCATTGTGGTGTTTTGGTTGTTTGTTTGGTTTTTTTTTTCCTGATCAGTCTCATCTGTAGCCTGCAGCAATTGTTAAACCACTAACAAAAAAAGTGCAATAAAATAGCTGACAATTTTTTGTAAATTCAGAGAAAGTAATGCAACAGTTCCTTTTTTCAAGGCACTTGATACTGCATTTGGTGGGAAAAAATGCATTCTCAGAAATATTGCCGTAGTACGTATTTTTGTCTTTACGTTCAGTTTAGCATAATAAACATCTTACCAAGGGTAGCTTTTCCATTTTAGAGAAAAGAAAGCAGACCATGTACTTGGATTATAAAATAACTAGAAAAGATACTTTGTATACATGCAAGGTATGTATTTGCTTAATGTTAGCTGAGTGTAAAGAGTTTCCCAGTGTAAGATTTGGGGGGCTTGTAGCTAGTTTACATTCCCGTAATGCATATCCCAAGATTTTCCTTAGCATGTGCAAAGGATGACAAATATCAGTACTTCATACAACTATATTTAATAAGTTATTACAGAAAAAAATAAAGTCCAAACTACAAAGTTTAAGCAGTTGTAAGCAATAGCAGCATTGAGCTCCATGTTTAGTCACAGTACTGCAGTTCCATACAAGCATTAGTCCAAGCCAAAAAGGAAGAAGCCTTGTTAGAATTACTAGCAAAAACAATCTAAGAGAACATGTAATAAAAGATACAGTACATTTAAAATTAGTTGAAAAACAAGTACAGAGATCTTAGTTGTGAATGCTCTAAAAGTTATGTCCATTATTTTGACAGTAAAATTACAAATATCTAATACTTTATACCCCAACAGAACTATGTCCAGGGAAAAAAAAACAACAAAAAAGAAGGAAAAAAAGAGCCAAAATTATCTCTTGCTAGCACCCTGGTTTTCTACTTACTGCTAAACTTTTTCTGATGTAAATTTGAGTGTATCAGAATTGTGTGACCAATGATGTCATTTCTGACCAGCTACCCATTTGGGGTATAGAGTAGTCACTAACATGAATATAAAATACTCTGTGGTATGATAGAACACTATAGCAGCAGAGATCAAGAAGTTTGTCTGGTTTAAAAAAAGAGAAAGAAAGGAAGGAAAAGAAAAAGGGTTTAGCCGACATCATACAAACTAGCATAAAAGCAACTACATACAAGCCAAATTAAACAAAAGAGACATTTCTACAATCTTTCACTCATACCTTGCAAGTAGAGATGTCACAATACTGAAATATTAACATGGGAGCTTTTCCCAGTTAAGCGCCTTTTTTTTTCTTTTTCTTTTTTTTCTTTTTTTTTTTTTTTACTACTCTAACAGATAGTGAAATCAGTTATTTGCTAACTGCATATTTGCAATACAATTTGTTTTAGCCCATGCCTTGCTAGCAGGCTATAAAATACAAGCATGTAGGCAGAAATATAAGCATAAACTTTGTACCACTTAGCAGGAATTTTTTTTATTCCCTCTTCATTCCTTAATCTCCTTTGTATGCAATTTGTGTACATTCCAACCAGTAGTACCTAATTTGAGTCTAAATTTTACTTCACTATTTGATCTAGTCTATACATTACTTACAGAACTGAACACACAGAGGATACACAATAGACCAACTCCGGACACATTTCTTTCCGCAAGTTACAGATGAGCCACTCTTAACACTCTAACATAAGTTAGTCTAAAAGGCCATCAATAACTTGACGTAATTGGTTTGTCTAGAGAAAGCCATTGTGTGCCCTATTTACGCAACACCAGTTTTAGTCTGGATTGTTTCAGGTGCCAGAACAGAGGGTCGCTGGCTTCAGGAAGGGGTTTCTTCTGGCTACGTGGGGAAACAAAGGTGATGTAAATGGTGGTAAAGTGAGAGGTGGTTTGATCCTGGCACTCAGTATTGCCAGTACAAAAGAAAGGAAGGACCAAGACACAAGAGAGGCAGAGAAGAACAGAGAAGGACAAAGAAGCTGAACAGCTGTTCAGACGTGGTGACAGTATGGGTTACTGCATTGCTACCAGGGAAAAATGGACATACGTTATTTTGTGTTAACGAGGCAGCCGCCAGTGCTACGCGGTAACTTCTTTAGAAGATGATGTGGGTCCTACAGTCTGCTCCATGCTGCCACTGATGAACGTATGCAGGAAGGAAGTTGTGCAGGAAAGGGGCAATTTAATTAAATAAATAACATGGTGGCAAAATACAATGAGGAATATATATTTTTAGGAGGTTCAGTCTAGGACTACTGAAAAGAGAGGTCGTTGAGTTCATGATGAGAAAAGTAGTGGAGCATTATGCTGAATGGGCAGGGTCAAAAACCCATTGTTTTGATAGATTTAGTTCCTTATAACGGCAATAGTATTTCATCAACACTGGTGGTGTATAAATCTAGACAGCGAACTGGTACTGTGACATCCCTATTATCTCCCTAAATCATTTTGATAAAGGAAAAGGCTTTTCAAAATATCACATTTTTTCTGCTTCATTCTGTCATTTTATTGCCCAATTCTTTGTTACAATTTTCCAATCACTTTACATAACCAACCGTTTTCATCATTGCCACACTATTGTAAACCACATCAGCAAGTTAATACATAAAGCTTTGCATTTCAAAAAACTAGACACTTTAGTAACAATATTACAAAGATTTTAGCTTCAAAAATAACTGAAAATGAAAAAAATAAACTTTTAAAGAATTAGCATCATAAAATTAATTTATTCCAAGTAAAAATACAAAATAATATTAATGACATTGACCAGATATGAAAGTCTCTCCCAGAAACAACTATATTAATGGTTGAGAAAGCACTCCTTAAAGAAAATACGAAATAAAAATGAAAAATATGTAAATATGTTTAATTTTTTTCTTAGCAAAAAATCTTTCTAAAAATAACAATGAAAATTTGTCTCAGTACAAAGGCTACATTACTATTGAAAAAATACCAGCATGAAGAAAAGGTACATATTTGACAGTAGAAAAATGATTTTAGTGAATCACAATGTCTAAAGTCTGCAATGAAAATAAATCTGCAATAAAGATTTATGCCTTTTTTCTTTTCATTTTTCTTTTTTTTTTTTATACAAACAGTACAAACAGTATTGCACATAACAACAAATAGTCGAGGTTAGGTTAGCCTTCAAAAAAATCGACTAGTTCAAGTCTCACATCAGAAAAGGCCACAAGAGGACCTGTTGTACCCAGGGGCTTCTTAGTCAAGTTGCAGTTCAGAACTCCATATTTTAAAAAATAACTTTTTTTGAAGGACCCTCTTTTAATATAACATATTAACAACTCGGGCACATTCATTTACAAAAGAAAAGGGAGCATGTCATAATTTAATAAACTAAAAAAAGTTCTCTTTAAAAAAATACAAACAGAAGAACTCTCACAATTCTGGTCAGTCGTGCATAATCACACTTGATTATAAATATACAAATTAAGGGAAAATATTTTTTCACCTTCTATTCACAACTTTCAGCACCAAATGGAGTTTGTCTTTACACCTGTTCTTCACGATAATTTTATTTTAGATTTAATCCATCATTATGCTATATTGTACATTTTCCAGCTTCTCTCTCTCTCTTTCTCTCTGGGGGTATTTTTCTACATGAAAGAGGGGTATTTCTTCAAAAAGGTTTACTTATTTCACATAATTAGGTAGATTTCTGTAGGTTAGCTATGATCTTTAATATTACAGTTATAAAGCTCTAACTTCTTCATTTTCAAAAAAAATCAAATAAGCATGAAAAAAATAAAGTTACCCATCTGTTAAATCATTTTTCTTGCAGAATTAAATTAATATATATTTTTCTGAATAAACTTACTTAGAAAATATCATTTTCTTTCCTATATTTCAAAATTGAGGTATTGCAAAAGATCATGTCAGTCAGAAAGCATGCCTTTTTCTTTAAAAAAAATCATCAGCCGACTGTTGAAAACTGTCTAGATACAAAAAGTAGTGCATAACAAAATGTCTTCTACAGATGAAAAAAAAAAAACAAACAGAAAAGACACCTGGGCTGGGAAAAGCAATATCACAAAAACGCCCAGAAGTAGCTTCAAAAGGGATAATCATAATAAGCATTTTAAACCAGTAAAAAACTATTTTTTCTTTTTTTTTCTCCAAAACCAGAAAAAAAAGTCCTTTCAAAGCCAATACTCGCAACTAAACATTGGGAAGAACAACTTACTAAATTAGACACAAACAAAGACATCACAACAAACAAAACCAGAACATTTAAATCTACTATGCGGTGTCATATCCAGTCAGATTGTCCCCAGAACTGCAAAAACAAAGAAGGAAAACCAGAAAAATATTGTACACATTCTCACAATCATTAGTACACCAAGTGTGTTTAGATTTATATGCTATCTGCAGCCCCATAGTCTGTGCTAAAAAAATGTCCACTGTGTTAGCAGGTCTTAATTGTATTCAAGCTTCACAGGATACATCCAGGGATTAGAGAGATAACGCCACATCCACACAGCAGACATCTCGGGTTACTTTGATTTGCAGACATTTCTTTAGCATCACTTTTTTTCCTACCTTTCTTAAATGTGCCTAATTTCTCAGTTTGACAGACTATCTAATCGGTAGTGTATGTACGCTAGCATGAGCTCTTTGGTTTTCTGGACAAGGTCTGCAGCTACGTAAATGATGCAAGCATTTTAGGAGAGAGATTGTAACTAAGAGCTCATTTCTGTTTATGTACCTGTTATGAACTGTCAAAAATGTGTTAATGTCAGATACAGAGGCTTTAACAGTTAAGTTTGATCACAGTACTAGACATAATCACTTTACTATATAAAATAAATTGCACGATATATAACAGAGCACCGCAAAGTACTTCATCTACCATCCACAAATTTGTTTTAAGAATATCCTACAGCTAGTCTTTATATTTGTTGTAATACAGGTCATTCTGTAATGGGCTGATCCTAATTCCAGAAGCATTACATTTACTGAGGCATGCCTTCCTCCAGTCAGTAATCAATTTGTTTTTGTTACTGAGTATTTTGTAGCCTACGTAGATTCATAATTTGTGCATTGTGGGCAGGTTTTCTATTAGACATATATAAAATTTATTGCATGCAGCAACCTGATTAAGTAAACATGCAGTCAAAAATATTGACCTTCCTTGGAAGCTTTTCTGTATGCTATACTGATCTCCTTTCAGCAGCCATCACTATCTTAATCACATACTCTTTTTTTAATTGATACCCTAGCCTGAATAGAGTATTATGGTATTAGTAATACCATTTTAATAGCAGCAAAAGCTATTGCAGCATACATTTACATAACACTAAAAGACCTAACAAAAAAAAAAACAAAAAACACAACAAAAGAAAACAAACAAAAACCCCTCAGCAAAACAAAAGAAAAAAGTGTGATCCAGCTTATGAGGTATCATCCTTACAAGTCAAAATGGAGAGCAACTAAAGGCTTATTTTCTTTCAAGGGTTATTACTACTCTAAATGACCCAAACTAATGATTGCTGAATATCTGTTTTAAGTTTTTGCTACATCTGCCACCTACTTGTGAATATTACCTTTGGTAAGTCATCTGCTAGGGGCAAGTCTAAATTTCTGAAAATAAGTGCATGCTCCAGTTTAAAAATAAAAATAATTATAATTATAATAAAAAAATCTTCATCACATACACATCAACCCAGTGAAGGCTGATGAGAATGGCAGTCTACATAATGTCACTAGTGACAAGTCTTGTGTAGGAAATTAAGGTACCAAGCAGATGTTTGTGTGAATCAAAGTGCAAAATCAGTACAGTTACACTCTGCCGGTTTGTTTTTTATACTGGACACTGAGTTCAGTAATGTGACTGTAAATAATAATAATAGTAATAAAAAGACCCATATCTTCATTAAAGTCGAGGACGAATGCACAGATTTCCAGAACACTAAGCCCTGAGGCAGCGCTCTCTTTTCACTCGATTTTATTTACTCCAGTACTTGTCGCCGGGTGCAGCCTGGGGTTCAGCTCCAGCGGAATGGGACGTGGCGGGGCCGGTCCCCTCCCTCCTTTACCAGTGGTTTGTGGAACTCTCGCCCAGCACGAGAGTGTATGCTTGCCCAGCAGTATTCACAGTAATACTGCAAACAGGTAACATTGGCACAGAAGAATGGAGCAAATTTTCCACCACAGCGAGTGCCCTGGCATTCATCACACATCTGATCATCCAGCACATATGGCTTCACTTCCACCTGCACCGGGAAGAAGAAAAATAACTGTAAGATGATGACATTGGGACATTTTCTAAGTGTGAACACATTTAATTCTTTTAATTCTGTTGAAGGTTTTGAGCTGCATTGACCCAAAGAGGCTGGTAGTTAAATTTTCATACCAACCACTTCACCTGTCAGAAAATCTCAAGAAAGAAGGGTGTGCTTTGGTAACTATGCAGCAGTTCTTGGAAAAGTTAGGCAAGTGAAAGTACCACGATAGAAGTACAGTAAAAATAGCATCTCCACGGATTTTGCTGCTGTCTAAGAAATCACCAGGAATGAGAATACAGTTGTTACAGGGGCAGAGCACGAGAGCATTTGGGAAAGAACATTATAAAAACCCCATGTATTTCTAAACTTCAGAGGGCTGGTGAGTTTCAGAGGTTTTTTCCAGAGAGGTTTTTGTGGGTTGTTTTTTGTGAACTGCAAAATGCAGGGCCAGACTAATAAATGAAGAGAAGACTCAAACAAGATTAAATGTGCTTCTGTCTTATGCTGGCAAAAATCACTGTCTAAAGATTTTTACCTCTAGAAATGTAGTGTGATTTCATAATGGTTCAACTACAGCCTTGCTATCAATAACAAATAGGCTGGACAGCTGCTGACTCCTGTCCTCTACTCAGCTGTAAACATCCTAGGACCAAAATTCATTTTGATTTTAAAGCACTTGGGCCAAACAGAAGTATTTTGCTGCACGACTGGCCACTTGCAGTAATACTGCTGCAGAAGCTGACAACATGCAAGTTCTTCCCTGTTGTCTGTTCCTACAAATCAAATCTACACATTTAAATTGAATGTTTATTCATTCTGGGGAAATCATTAGTTTATGCATGTGTAATTCTCATGGCTATAAGACGCTGTTTACAAAATGGTTTAGTACAGTCAACTGTACATTAAGAGAGACAGAAAAAAATGAAATATACATACTTTTACTTTAAGTAATTTTGCTGTAACTGCACAAGTACTAGTCTGGCAAAATTTGTATATTGCAAAGAAAACTTGACTCCAGTAACTACGCTTAAATACGTAGAGTATTAAAGAAACACAGACTGAGATCTTAAGTTGAAAAACAAGAAACATACAAAAAAGCTTTATGCTGAATTTTGTTTCAGCATTATTTTTCAACAATTGATACTCATTTGAAGTAAAGCTTATATAGTGAACTGTATTTCTTGCCTATGGAACAGTTGATTTTTTAGGTTTTGTTTCTTTTTAAATTACACTGGACTACTAGTATTGCATGGAACAAGTCTGAATAACTGCCATTTTGCATACCAGACCCTCCTACCACTAAAATTAGAAGCATCGTGTAAAAGAAACCAGTACTGTCTCAAATGAAATTGCAAGAAAGCAGGTCCAATGTCCATGCTCAAGCTGTTGGTGTGCAATGAGCGAACCTACTCACATTTCCAAAGCACAATTTGGGACAATCTGAAATAAATTCTCTCTCTCTCTCCTTTTCTTGCCTTGGCTATTAGTGAAATAATTTTAAGAATGCATGCTGTATAATTCCGAGATTTCAACCTATCAGATTTAAAAACTAATATTTAAAGAATGACTAAGAGACTCCATACTTCTTCAAACTCACAGACAATTAAGTAAACTTAAAAGTATCAATCAACCAACTGGAACAAGTACTGATTGATGGGGGAAACTACCAGCTAGCATAATTTGTGGCTCAATCCTAAAGCTTAGAAAAAAAATATGTTTTTAAGCATAGCTGATACATAAATCGCAGAGTTTAACACTGTGATTAAGACTCCAAAATTAATCTTCTTAGGGTCTTTGCAAAATTCTTCAGAATTCAATAGACAAGAAATATTTAGGAACAGCCTTGTCATAGCTAAAATCATGAGGTACAGTAGCACTGTAGAAAAATAGTTTGAGGATTTATAACTCCCTGACCTCATCTAATCTGACAAAAAGTTCAGTTCAAACTTAAAGTAAAAACAGCTTTGACTTTGTAGCTGTGTTTTCACATGTACACTGCACATAACAGACACACCCAATACCTGTCAAGCAGACTTCTTAAGAAGCAGTTCATATTAGGTTAAATAGAGAACAGGCCATCGCTGCTGTAAAAATACATAGCAGCATTGCACGCTGTATGTTCTTTTGAATAACTCTAAATACCAAGACCTCAAAAACATAGGTGTTATTTGTATGTGTAATCAATAGGTGAAGACAAAAGGTCTGAAGGGAAAAAATCATCTTGGAAATTAGGTAATGTTTTCTTTCAAAGTATTCAATTCAGATTTCAGCAAATACAACTTCGTTTACCCCCCCTTTTGCCCATCAAGCATCTACTGGCATTTGGTTTTGTTTAAATAATTCTCAAGACTTTTGAGGTCAGCATTACCATTTATACTTAAAATAAACCTGTGTTTTAGGAACCTCAAGTCTCAACATACATCGCTGAGAGAAAACATTGCCTAATAATAGCAGAAATGCCAGAAGCTGTATAAGTAGCCACTAACTGAAAGCTGTTGATGTGCAATAAGCAAACATCTAAAGCAGGAGAAAGAAGCTGAGAAATTCTGTTTGACCCTCAGAATTCAAACCAAAACCAAGAACAAATGATCTTGCAATCAACTGTTTTCTGGTTTTAGTGCTAAATAGTTAAGATGCTTAAGATATATTTTGTTCACTCTGCTTTAGCTGCTTAAATAGGCTTTAAAATAGTTAACAAATGTCACTTGAAGAACAGAGGTTACAGTGCTGCCTCACACAATATAAGGATGGTTTTAATTTCTGTACAGTTTTGTGACATTCTATTCTGTGCTATTTTACTTACCCGTTTATCAATGTCATTGTGTTGGAGCTGGACAAAGCGAGCACTGATAGCAGCAATATAGCTCTGCTGATTGGAGAAAGCCACTCTGCCAGCACCTTTCGGATACTTCAACTCTGGGTCTGTATCAATGCCAGCATAGCAGACACCTCCATATAAACGGTCCATAATCATTGCCAATTCAACTGCAAGAAGTGAACCGTTAAATATTATGGATTTAACATAAGTAACAATTTTATGTTTGCTTTGTTGCATTTAAAAAGTGCTATTCGCCTTAGCATGCTTATCTTCCAAAGTCTAAAGTAGTAAACTCAGACGTTGGCTTTAACAGACTGAATCAACGCTACACAAATTATAGTAAAATGTAAAACCTATAAAACCTGGAATCTGTAAAAAGGAACTTGGTGTGATTGAAGTGTGGAAAAAAACGTAGTTACATTGTTAAAGTAGGTATCGGATCAAGTGTTTTATGATAAATTCTAATTGTGGTATTTGGGATTACATATTCAGGATCTTTCCAAGCTCCAGTCAGGCTTATTAATGCTAGTTTACGTATAAGATCACTTAAAGATATTCCTGTATTTTAGACTCTGGTATTTTGCCCTGAGTACTAAGGGAGAGACATTAAGGAAGTGGTTTACATTTGAAACAACATTTTGTGAAACATAAGAAGTTATTACACTTTAAGCAAGTCGACATTTTGGAGAAAACTTCACTTAGTATTTTTGTAGAGCATTAATTGATTGTGGATCTTCTAAAAAGGCTTGCTGCTTTTTCTGACACTAAGAACAAGTCGAAAGAAGTTATAAATACCATTCATACAATAAGACAGGCTGAGTGCACAGCTGAGGAAACGTACAGGAGAAAGGTTAAGAGAAAGAACTGAAGCAAGTGGACAACAGGCATGTCAGTGAGCAGACACGTACGGTCACCAAGCCAAGTTCTCTGTGCAGCCGATAGGCAAACAAATTTGTCAGATGGATGAGGGACAGATCCTCACAAAGAAAGATACTGGGACCTGTAGGGGCCCTGCTAAGTCAGCCAGTTTTGTATGCTAATGTGTGAAAACACTACCAGTAGCAAGTTAAAATTTAGGTATTTGAGATAAAGTGATAAAGATTTACTAAATATTTAAATACTTGTAGCTGTCACAAAATTTTCACTGGTTAATTATATATTGAATAGAGACAATTTTTAAATTGAGTGTATGTGTGTTTGTATAAATGCCCATGTCACATTAACGGAAGACCATATGCTCATTTGTCCATTTGCAAGGCGCAAACAAACGTCTGACTCATTCCACCAAACCAGGTAATACTCCTTCTCCCAATAGTAAGGGAAACTATCAGCACAATGTAGTGACTAGTAGATTGTTCTGCTCTCTCATGATTTGGAATAATTGTTTGGGTAATGATCTCAGAAAGTGGTAGTAAGGAATAAACATCAGGAACACTTAAAAACATTTGCAGTAGCAGTTCCAGTAAGTAAATCTTGCCAATAGACAAAGAACATACAGGATTGTAGGGCAAGGAAACCATGTAGTGCTCAGACACCTTAGGAGAAACTTCTGTATCCGATCTTTGAAGTTGCAAACAAGAAAAATTGGAAACTATTTGCCTGCTTTGAAGAAGTTAACTAAAGACATCAGTTTTCAAACATAATTTATTTCAAACGTAATCTACAATGGTCAAATGACATACAATTTTATAATGGCTATAATTAGAAATGAGGTAATGTTTAATTGTCACTATTTACATAATTGCTGTCCTACAATTATGCTGTATTTTAAGATGGTGAGGAAAGTGGAAGCTGCCAAGGAACCTGGCCTGGGAGAAATCTTTTGGAAGCTTACAGCTTCCAAAAAGAATTAGGATGAGGAGAAAGATGAAGCGAAGAGCTGAAGTTCTAGTGAGCTGGAAAGTGGCTGCCAAAAGGACAGTGAGGGCTGCCAGGAAACGTGATCCAGAAGTCTTTCTTTCAGACAAGGACTGAGGAGCCTTGTTGACTACAGCCCTTGAAAATTAAAATTAGGGCTGAGAGGATGAAAAAGAGAAGCCATACAGCTGACTTGGGAGTGAGTATGGAGAGGGACTACTAAACAGAAACGAGGGCTGCCAAAAGACCTAGTTAGGAGAAATGTTTCAGCTTGCTTCATGACGTTGTCATTGTCCCACCAAAAAATCTAAGATTAGGGACAGAAAAGTGTGTCACGTTACAGTTGGGAAAAAGCGCTGAAAAGAGACCTTCAGAACAAAGTGGGGGCTGCTGTGAGATCTGGGATGGGGTTAATCATTCCTCTGGCCAAAGGCTAAGGAGTCTTGTCTATGGTTCTGCAAATAAAAGTGAAGAAGAGTTAAGCATGAAATAAAAAATATTGGAAAAAAATATCTGCATTAAGACTTGGTCTGGAAAGTGGTCTTAAGTATAGATGGGGGCCACCAGGAGATCTGGCCTGGGAGAAATTATTCTTCTGGACAATGGCTGAGATGCTACATGGGAAAACCAGAGTTAGGGCTGAGAAAAAGGTAAAGAGCGATCACAGAGCTGCAGCTGGAAATGGTTTGGCAAGGGGCTGCGGGAAGTTTGTCTAATAGTCAAAGGAACGGGGAGGTTGTCTGCATTTCAGCAAGCAAGTCAGGGTTAGGATTAAGATGGTATACATTATGAAAAATCAGCCAAGTTCTAGGACATTATGCAAACTTGGGGAAAAATGGTTGTACTGAAAATATCAACTAGTGATCTATTTAAAAGACTAAACATATTCATGGTTTGTATTTTGCAGACAGGAAGACCCACCAAATCACAGAGTGAGCTACAATCTGTGGAAAAGACAGGGTGCATATTCTGCTCTTTTACATTTACTGTCTTTTTCTCCTTAATCTGGAACCCCCCACTACATGCCCTACATTTTCCTTCTACTCACCAGCTCGGAGGGGCCGTGGAACTCCTCCAACAAATATGGTTTTTCTTGGATCCAAAGGCTGAGACCCATCCATCACAAAGTCACTGTCACTTAGGTTCCAAGGTCGAATTTGCACCTGTATTAAGGATCGTTTTTAGTAGAGGAACTTGAAATTCAATTAAAATTAGGGAACAATTGCAAAATCTTTCTATAATTAAAATTACAATTTTGACTTAGCAAAAGTCAGAAATTAGTGGTATAAGCACCAAAACAATTTGAGAACACAGCTTTTCCAGCTGTTTGAAAGGCAGCAGACAATTCATTTATCACCTCTAGAGGCCAGGCTTGAGTTAAATTTGATCAGAGCAAACTCCTGTCGTATTAATTCCTTGCCTCTAATCGCCATTATAATAAGAAATCCATGAAAAGACTTTCAGAACATTTTACCATGTAGGTGCAATTACATTTGCTGCTTGGACTCCTGGCTTTCTTGAAAGCAAATACAGTGATCCACAAATTTTAAAGCACTGATAGAAGTAGATAAAATTAATTTCTGTGCTTGGATACAAAAGTAGTTTTTATAATATGTAAATGCTCACTTCTGTTAAGCAGCAAGCAGTGCAGTTGGTAAGAAATCTTTAGATTACACAAGAAAAACTTCTTCAGAAGTTATTTGGATAAAGCTGTTCATCCACCCATTTTTTTTTATCCTAAAAATAACCTAAACCATGCACACTTTGCAGTAATACCGGGTTGTTCATTTATCTGTGCAAGCTTTCAGTAGTGTTTATAAAAGGCAGACATGTTTTTTGTCTAATCATGTTTGTCTTCAGTTTTCATCTAATTTCTGTGCATCCATAGCTGCAAAAAAGACTAGCATTAAAGAATGTTAGAGATGTGAACAATGGAAACAGGTTACCATGTCTTCTATTCTGCCATAGCTGTCTGCATTCCTTGTTTTCCCCCTGCACTTTAAATAAGGGTAAATGATACCTAAATTATAAATTGATTAGCTAATACATGCAGAAAAAATAATAATTAAGAAACCCAATGAAGTACAGGGGATATTTTAAGTTATCTGGTTTTTAATTTGAGAGGAGGAAAGAGGGAGTGTGTTTAAGTTTCTTGATTTATTTGCTTTAAGGCTTTTTTTTCTTTAAAATAATATTAAGGGGAAAATTATAATCCAATTGTTTCACAGCTAACTTTGTAAAAGGATTTGTACTCCTGCAAGATACCAGAGGTACCAAATACAAAAGTTAATTGCACATGGCATTTATCAGAAAGAAGCAAATGTTAAAACCATCTTACGCTGATCAAGTCAATTCAATGTAAGAGCAAGGACAGCCACAGGAAATGGACAAGTCAATTAACTGTAAGTATTTCTTATTTATTAACTGAATTCAGAGTAACAGCAAATGGGTTAGCAACCTGCATAAGCTACTTACTGGTTTATCCTTGATTGTGGGACTTGAGACACACAGGTAAAGTTTCCCATCTTCTTCCAAGCAGGCATCTATCAGAGCTTGTACAGAGCTTTCTTCCTGGAACAGCAGAAAGGCATAACCTTGGAAAGGATAAAAGCACAAGAAAGACAAGACAGATTACAGATTAATTTATAAAGCATTTTTTTTAACAAACCTAAAAAGTAAGAGATACAAATCATAAATAACTGTTAAGGTGGTTAGGGTTTTTTATAAATTAATTTCACCAAATCATATCCTCACAGACTATGTATTTCAGAATGCAGACAAGACTCTCTGCTGCAGGTCAGTATGTTTATTTGATTAACTAATGATTTCAAGCAGTGAGAATATAGGCTGGTGAATGAGCAGTTCTTGTTATCCAACAGCTGTATCTGTTTATCAGTGGTTACCTGCTGGTAGCAGCGATTGTCACCTTACAGTGAAGGCACTGAGTTTCTGGTTGCTATACAAAATGAATAAATACTGAAGAATATTAGAAGAAAGGGTCAAAAAGTGGACAGGTAAGCAGATAAACAGATACCTGTGTTCACATGCTGAACTATAAATGGAATGCTCACCTAAACCCCATAAACATGAGCAAAAGAGAACAACACGTATTGTGTTCTATTAGGAGTCAAAAACCTGCTGTTGTTATTTATATTTAAATAAAGCAGTTCAAAAGAAAGCAATAATAAAGTCCAATAACAATTGCTCCAAGAGATTCAGAATTTGAGGAATTTAAATTAGTCAGTAAAACAAAGTGTGTGTCTTTCAGTGTTCTTCTCCATGTAGCTGGCAAGAAAGCTTTCTTCAGTTTTACTTCATGTTATAAAATGTGAATAAAGATTTGACCCAAGCAGTCAGTCCAGGCTTTGGCTGCCTCACAAGTGAAACCAAGACAGCACGCTCTACACTGAGCAAAGCCATCTAACGACTGGCTTCAAGGCTTGAATAGAGCTACCCAGTTAAAAGGACTTTCTGTCAAGCACGAGTTGCTCTTCTGCTCTGTAATCAGTACAACTCAGTTTTCTCACTGAATCTCACTATGTTGGCTTTGACTTTTATAATTTGGCACTTGTGTGTTTTATAGGCTACGTCTTTTCAGAAAATCTGCAGCAATTACAAGTAGCTGCACTTTAAGTAGGGACTGCTAGACTTTCTCTGCTTAGGACTCTTGACACACACTAAGCGCCTACATGACGATACACCATATTTAACTTATGACAACCTTTGATATAGCTTTACACAGTCTATTTGCTATTTGTATAGCAGCAACTTAGCCTAGTTTTGCACTGAGTGTTGAGTGAATACTATGTGGCATGTCTTTTTTAGATAAATACTGCACAACTCAAATATAATAAAAAAGACACTGAAAAAGTATTTTCCTCTATGGAGTTATCGTCTACCAAATTATCTCTTACTATATCTAGTCCTGTGTGACTTCTCAAATGCAGCTGCTTGATTTCAGAGGTGAAAAACGTTTACGTTAACAACATAGTTATAGCCCAGAACACATCTAGAAAGACTGACTTGCCAAAGAAAATAGAACGGTTTGATCATCGCTCTTGCCAGCAAACAAGGAACTTGCATACCTAGAGTTGGAGTAGGTCCAATATACCAGTCCCAATAAAAAGTTAAATATTTCTTCAGTAAAAAACACCCGTTTTTTTTCTCTCTAGCAGATTTAATTCTCTTAAATTAAAACAGGCCCCTAAAGGTATAAACACGCTTCAATATTTTAGTTTTAGACTTTGCAAAACTAATTACATTAACTGAGTACAAAAATAAGTAGCTTGCAATCACTATCACTTTTAGCTTCATTTTATTTTCCATCTATATGCACTCGTTACATATTTCTCACTCCTTACCATCCCTTCTGATTATATTCAACAATCAGAGGAGAACTGTATACAAATTAAAGTATCTTGAGTGTAGCAGTTCATTCAGCCTTATAAAATGCCCCAGCCAGAAAAATGGATAACTTGGAAAAAACTGCCATGGCAACTATACCTCCAAAGCTCACTGGTCACCCTTTCTGGCTCAGCCCGATTCTTACCTTATATTTTATCCAAATGCCTTGTTAGTACAGTGGAGTCTAAAAACACACATACATTTATGGATACTTTAAAAGAATGGTTTAAAATATGTTAAATTAATTTAATCATTTAGTACTTATCTTCTGACCAGACCGTAAAGTTTGAAATCTAAAAAATAAAATTTTGTCTATGACAGACTTTTAATCATCTATCAAAGCTTGTTCAGGTTCATAGTAAGAGGTTGCATCTGTGGTAGCTGGAGTTTACAGCCATTTGTGAGTATGACCATAACCAAATCAGTTCAAATCAACCAAACAGATATTTGTTCATTTTCTCTGGCTTCTAGATCACAACAGCAGTCCAAGTTAGTACGAGTTCAGTTTTCTAACCCGAGGCTAGCACTACCATGAAGTTTAGTAAGTTAACAGCTCCTCATTTCTCTAACCTCGGTGACTAACGTTCTCCTGCTGGCTGCAGAGCCTGTGCGGGCCCTCTGCAGACAGGTGGGTAAGAGGTTACAGGAGCAGTCAGTCCTCTGGTAACCTAGGAAGGCAAGCAGCCCCGACTAGCATGGCATGAACTCCAATGTTACTTCAAAACCTGGTGAGTGCACATCTATTCCAACTATTCTAGGACTTTCAGTACTCAGGACTAACAAAGATGAGACTCAGATGAAAAATAACTAAATTACAAAAGTTCAGATAATATAAGGATCACGTAGAAGCTGATATGGACAAGAAGATACTTGCCAAAGTTAAAGGTCTTTTTACTTATTTAACAGAAGTGCATAGGGATGAAAAAACCTTAAGTTCAGAAAGGCGCAGCAGCTCCTCCCCATGAGCAATGGGAAGTGCGAGGCATTGCTATTACTGAGGACTTAACCCTCCTGCTCACAAACCACTGTTCAGAGCTGCATTTGCTTCTTCATACAAGAAAATCTGTGCTTCCATGGATGCACTTCATTTGATTATTAACTCTGTAGCTGGAGAAGATGCACGCTGAACTCTGATTCCGGCATAAAAAACTAAATGTCAAAACTGACACTGCATAAAGGATTATCTCCCAATAAATGCAATTTAATAACGAAATCACTTTATTGCATAGGAACAAAAGACCATTTTTGATAACTTCAGCCACAATTTAAAGAAAAAACAGCACTCCAATCTGTAAATTAGCACTAATTAATTTTCGTTTTCTGACAGCTGTGTTTAAATGCTAACTGTGTACTTCTCTTCCTGTTTCTACTTCACACAATGACACAAGCCTCATCCCCAAAAAGCTTTACTGTGTGGCCAGTTGACTTCTAGCATTGAGAATGGTCAACTATAGGGGCATCTAGATTTAAAAGAAGCTTAATTTGTGTTTAAAGGCAGTAGGTGAGGTAGAATTCCTAAGATGGTCAGTTTCCAAAACAAAAGAATATTAATACAAATAACTTAGCAGATGCTGAAAGTTGCTTCAAATTCCTCAGCACTGTGTGCTTCAGCACGTTCTCCTGGTGTGTCATAGGTATCATATGACTTATAGCGTATTAGTTTTTTCCAAGAATGAGATTTGATGAATTCCAAAATTTTAATCCTGTACAGAGGCAGCATGCTGTTGCTGGTTGCAGACAAACTTCAGCAGTGATCCTTTCTTACCTGACCCAATGTTCTCAAGTTTTTAGGGCTCGAGGTCCTGACTCAGCTTCCACAAAAGTAAAAGAGCAAGAGACTGGAAGCCTCAGAAAACAAATAGGTACCTGACAACAGCTGAATATTCTACAGAGACTGATACTGGCATCTTAGCAGAGCAGAAACAATCCAGTTCCTTCTCAGCTGTTGGTACAACACACCACCGTAGTGCTGACAATAAACGTGCACTTTGCAGTTCACTGAAGAACGGCTACAATGTATTCTGCTGTAAAAAAAAAGTCATTACAACTTTATAAATCGGTACAGCAGAGGGAATCTGAAGCATAGCCTAGGAGGTCCTCAATGCTAAGCTCAAGTATTCATTAATTTATGGAAAGCAATACAAGAACTAAGCTCCTTTGTACACATCCCATTCTGACTCTCAACAGTGACACAATTTCCATATGAAAGGATAACTTAGTCCAGTTGGTCTAATTTCACTGAACCTTCCTGAGAACAAACTGGAAAATCTTGTATATACACTGTGTCCCACAAGCTTAAAACAAGGTGGTCACTTGAAATGCAAGATATACTTGGAACTACCATATTACGTTGTAGTAGTCTGGAAAACGCATTTTTGCCAGCCTAGACAGTCTGGAGAATTTCTATTTCAATTAATATCTTAGAATCACAGAATGTCAGGGGTTGGA